GGAGCCCGCACCCGTCGGTCGCGCGGGGCAGACGGCCCGAGGCTCCACGCGGGTAGCGCCGCAGCTGCGCCTTCCCGGAGTTCTGCCTCCCGAGGGCGCGGGCGGGTGTGTGCCAGAGAAAGCGAGCGGAGCGGCTGGGTGGGCGCGGCGCGAGGCCCGGCGGGAGGGGGGCTGCGCGGAGCTCCAGCCAGGGCCGCGGTGCGCTCGCACGTCACGGCTACTCAAAACCGAGCACGTCCCGAAAGCGGTCTTTTCTGCGTCTGGGAGGTTTTTGCATCCTCAGTTCCCACCGCTGGGGCTGGCGGCGACCAACTGTAAGAGCAACTCACTGGGAGGCGAGGCTAGGGAGGTGCGGAGGACTGAGAGGCCACCCGGAGGGATAGGAAGTAAATTTTGGACTTGATCGTCTTTTTCTTTTAGCGGCGGACCTGTCGCTGGCTCAGAGCTGTCATCTCAGCACCGGGGTTCAGACGAATTGATCGTCAGCAGCGGAGGGGGCACATCTCAGCTGAACGGCTGCATGTCTCCGGGTGGAACAATACTAGTTTTTTTTTTTTTCTCAGCGAGGCTGCAATTAACATCTTATTTGTTCTGGCTAGATACAGGCTTTGTCAGGACCACGATGCGGCGACTGAGGTTGGGCATCTTGCATTGCTTTCTGCATGGCAATGGGATCATGGTTGTGGGGTCTAAACTTTTGTTTTCTTAATGTATCTGATTCTTTTTCAAGTTTCCCTAGTAACAGGTTTGGGAACGGGGTGAGACGAAGCAAGGGAAAGGGGAAAGAGAAGCGATCAGATTCTCAATTTAGCAGGAAAAACAAAAGATAAATGTCCACCACCCTTCACGTTCATTCATTCATTCATTCATTTATTTTTATTTCATCCTGGACAGTTGGCTGACAAGTATTTGATAAACTAGCTTCAGATACATGCGGCAAAAGGTCATTCGCGCTCTGATTATGTCCCCACTCAGAAACGCAGTTGGTGGTTTGCAAAACAAGTTCTAAATAGTGTGGTGATGTGGTGGAAGAAGACCTTGATGAGTAATTCATATCAAGTGTTGGAGTCTTCCTAAGAGTGAGTTGCTTGAGCTGCAGGTGAAGCTGAATAAAACAATTTACCATTATCTTCTCTCCTTACTTCTGCATTTCTTCTTCCTCTTGTTACTCTGCCCTGGGGCGATGGAAAGCCAAGCAAGTCATTTAAAAAGAGGATTATAGTGAAAACAGGAAGGAAGGTGCCAATGATCTTTTATTCACCAGAGTGCTCTGAAATATTAAAATTGGCCCTTTGCTTCTTAATACATATAAATAGGGTGACCCTCTCGAGGCTTTCTCTTCTAAGACAAGTGTTCAGAATAACACCCTGTAAGGGAAACAGTTAATCATTCCCCATCCAGCAGGTTTTAACCATGTTCCAGGAAAATTCACTGCTGAGAGAGCAGCCTGGGTGGCGTTTTGGTTTTGTGTCATTTTTGGTTCATTACAATGGGGTTTTTTTTATTCATTTAAGGGAGTGTGAAAGGAAAATAAGGTAGGTTTGTGTCCAGGCATCATCCAAAACATTGTGTCTTAAGCAAACATTTTCTTTTAAAAACAAACAACATTAAGCAATACAAAAGAGAAACACATTTATTTCAGCTCCCATAGAGACAGTAATTATGATATTAGCAAGACATTTTGGTCAGTTCTGTTATTTTGCCAGGAGCAAAAACTAAAGAGATTAAGGACAGACATAAAAAAAAAAATGGAGAAAACAGGACATTTTGCATGATTTGTACATAGAAAGGAGAGGAAACTATCAGGTTTAGATATACTTCTATTTTGCATCTAGTGATTTCTCACATTATCTTTGAACACTGTATTTTTTATGTTTCTTAGAAAACCTTAGAGTCATATGACACAGTGACATAAGAATAACAGCCGGAAGGGACAATTTAAAAAGCCTTAATCCTAAATGGAAAGGAGCACTTACTCCAGGGTCATTTATATTCAAGTAGAATACAGGGCTGGGTCAGGGGAAAAGCCACCCTTAATAAAGAGCTTCACCCTTCACACTGTCTCCCATAACCTTCATAAATTGCAGGCTACTGAGCTGGCCTGAGGATGATCCTGCTGAGGTATATTTATAGCAGCTGATTTGTGGATGATAAATATGCCAAGCAGGACACAGTCTCCAGTAACCCCAGGCTGGTCTGACTTCCTCAGGGGGGTCATAATCAAGAATCACAAAAAGAACCATATATGGAGAATCTGGTCTCTGGACCCTGACAACAGCACAATCCAAAGACAAACCAAGGAAGAACCACCCCGATTCATGTCTGCACTATGTTCCACCTGAAAGCACTGCTGACATATTGACCCAACAACAACAAAAAGCAACAATTTACACATTGTAGGCTCTCTGTGTCCTTTCTCTCTATTGAGATTGGCCTGTTTTTATGCTTTAGTACATTTTAAAATCACTATTTCAAATTATAATTATCAGCTTTCACTGGCCTCTTTCACAAGCCTGTGTGTTGTCTGTGTATATGTCTCTATGTATATAAACATATACAGACATTTTACATATACACGTTACATATACATGTATATACCGGGGATGCCAAAAATATATATACACATGACTTGTATTCATCTTTTGTTATCGGTATATATTATTATAATTTTAATTCAGTTTTTTCCTTTCTTAAAATGTGTATACATTATTTCACACCCTCTGTATATGCACACACTATACGAGTATGTAAGTGTACATACACACATATGTAATACATGCTCATGTATTTCAGTTGTTGCACAGCATATATTTGGGAGGATGGTTTCACTGCATTGCTTTATATTTCTCTTTAATAAAGCATTCTCACCCCCAAACTGCCAGAGTAATTGTATGAACTAATTTTCATTAACATTCCCTTGCCACCTTTCAAAAGGACTATTGAAAAACCAGTGTTCTTACTGCCTATTTGCTTGGTGGTCCCTCCATACCTGTGTGCCTCTGACATCTTTCTCTATATGTCCTTTTTTTTTTTTCTTATAAAGACATCAGTCAGACTGGATTAGTGAGTTCATTTTAGCTTAATTATGTCTTTAAAGACCCTTCTCTCCAACCGTCACATTCTGAGGTACTGGTAGTTCCAGATTCAACATGTGAATTTTGAGGGGAGACACAATTCAACCCATAACACCTCAAACACATGTATCTCAAATCTAATTCTTTTCCTTTTCACTGCCATCTTTCTTTTCTAAAGCATGTAGTTTTTTTCCTAGCCTACTGTAATAACCTCCTACCTGGTATCAAATATTCTGTGTTAATTTACCTCCAATAAATCACGCTCAAGGCAAAAAAAAATGTGTCCTTTAAAAAAAAACAAAAAAAACAAATGCTGAAAATCTTTTTTTTTTTTAACCCCAGTTAGTTCTCATGGCACATATATAATAATAAATCCAAACCCTTAATCACGGCCCACAGTGCACTGCATCATCTGACTCCTGGTTCTCTTTCATCCTAAACCACACTTCTGCTTACTTATGATGCCTAAGCTACATTAATTTTCTTTCTGTGTTTCAAAGAAACCATTTTTTTCCCTCCTTACAGTCTTCCTACATAAGGAGTGAACTTCCGTTCTCTTGCTGTTGGAAAAACATACCAGCCTAACCTTTTCTCAACCCTCAGGTTTCATCTTGAAAATCCTATCTTCAGAGAAGTTTGGTTTTGTTTTTTATTTTTTTTTAAACACCCAGTCTGTGCTTTCTCTCATATTCTCTTTTAAGGTACTTACTGGTCTGTTTAATATTACTTGCTAATTTTTCTCTTTTTTTCTTTCTTTTTTTTATTGTTACTTGCTAATTTTTAATTATTTAATGTCCCTTATCTCTTTTGCCCATTAGCCTATAAACTTCATCATTATATACTCTTGTCTAACATAGTACAAGGCACATAGTAAGTGCTTAATAGATATTTACTGAATGGGTCTGTTGAAATTCACAGCATAATAAATTCCATGTGTTGGTATTAGTTATGTTTATTGGAATACTACCTATTTTAAAAGCTATATAACACATATTTGTACCACAACTCAAGCTAGAGTTCTCTTCCCCCTGGACCAAGCACTTCATTTCCTTCATTCATTTCTCATGTGACATGGCCTCCAGACTCTCCATCTTTATGGCTATTTTCAATTGAATTTTTCTCAGTTTGTCACAGTTCTTTGATGCTATAATTAAAAAAAAACATTCTCTAGATTTTTAACTTTCCAGTATAGACACAATACATCTATTAAGTTCAAAGGAATAAACGTTTACTGAGCATCTACTTAGCCAAACTTTGTAGTTATAAGGGTGACTGTCTTAGGGTCTCCCATATGAGAACAAGGCTTTCAACTTGCTGAAATGAACCAGTCATTGAGGTATTTAACACATGATTACTAAGCACATACTCCATGTAAAACATTTTGTAAGCTGTTTGGGAAACAGGAATGACAAGTATAGTCCCTGCCCTTGTGATGATTGTCTCTGTTGGTAGAGATAGCTAATGAACAGCTACTTCATTATAATGAAACTGCTTCATTATCAATTGCAGATGTGTAAACGTCCCCGAGGAGAAAGATACATGTTACGAAGTGCGGAGTGTGTGTGATGGGTAAGGGGGCATATGATTGGTGCGAAGTGCAGAGAGTGTGTGATGGGTAAGGGGGCATATGATTGGTGTGAGAGGTCAGAGAACATTTACCTG